CCACACTGCCATACAGACTGTATCCCCACATTTGTTCCCCACAAGCTTTACCCCCACACTGCCACACAGCCCATACCCCCACATTCTCCCCACAACATGCACCCCCGCACAGCCTGTACCCCCACACTACCACACAGCCTGTACCCCCACATTCTCCCCACATCCTGTACCCCCACATTCTCCCCACAGCCTATAACCCCAACCTCATCTTCCTCATCGCCCATACCCCCATTCTCTACCCACACAATACCCCACAACGTGCACCCCCACATTCTCCCATACAACTTGCACCCCATACTACCACACAGCCTGTACCCCCACATTCTCCCCACATCCTATAACCCCAACCTCATCTTCCTCATCGCCCATACCCCCATTCTCTACCCACACAGCACATATCCACACAATGCCCCACAACGTGCACCCCCACATTCTCCCATACAACTTGCACCCCATACTACCACAAAGCCTGTACCCCCACATTCTCTCCCCAAAGCCAGTAGCCCCACACTGTGCACCCCTACACTCTCCCCACAAACAATACCCCCACACTTTCCCCACAACGTGCACCCCATCACTCTCTCCTCAACCCGTACCCCCTCACTGCCACACAGCCTGTAACCCCACCTTCTCCCTCCCAACAGATGGTATCCCAACACTCACCTTCCCCGTCGCCCGTACCCCCACATCATCTCCGCCCAGAACATGCACACCAACACGCTCCCTCCACAAAGCGTGAACCCCCAACACTACCACACAGCCCATACCCCCACTTTCTCCCCACAACCTGTACCCCACACTGCCACACAGCCTGTACCCCCACGTTCTGCCCAACACACAGAACCCCACACTACCACAGTCTGTACCCCCACATTCTCCACACAACGTGCACCCCCACACTGCCACACAGCCTGTAACCCCACCTTCTCCCCCCCAACGGATGGTACCCCAACACTCACCTTCCTTGTCACCCGTACCCCCACATTCTCTCTCCCCACAACGTACAACCCCAAATGCTCCCTCCCCACAGCTGGTACACCCAACACTGCCACACAGCCCATACCCCCACACTCTCCCCACAACCTGAACCCCCACACTGCTCCACAATATGTACCCCAACATTACCCCACAGCCTGTAAACCCACATTTTCCCCACAGCCTGTACCCCAGCACTGCCACACAGCCCATACCCCCACATTCTCCCTCCCAACAGACAGTACCCCAACACTCACCTTTCTCGTAGACCGTACCCCCACATTCTCTCCCCACAGCCTGTACCCCCACATTACACCACAGCCTGTACCCCCACCCTCACCCTCCCAACAGACGGTACCCCAACACTCACCTTCCTTGTCGCCCATACCCCCACATTCTCTCTCCCCGTAACGTGCACCCCCACACAGCCTGTACCCCCACATTCTCCACACAGCCCATACTCCCATACTGCCACAGTCTGTACCTCCAAATTGGCTCCCCATAGCCTGTACCCCACCCTCACCTTCCTCACAGCACATACCCACACAATGCCCCACAACGTGCACCCCCACACTGCCACACA